CCACCATGTTAGCTTCTCAATCCATAGCAGCTCCACCCTTCCACAATCCTCCCGCCGTTAACCAGTTTTCGGCTTCACTATGCTCCACCCTGGACTCTCTAAATCGCTCCATTCTGACTCTGTCTGCAAGTGTTCAAGCCTTGGGAAATCCCCACACTGCCACGTCATCACTGCCTTCAGCTTCGCAGTGGGATCCCCTCCCTCCTCCTCCTACATTCACACTCGCCTTCGCCCGCCCCGAGCCAGCTCTAGGTAAGATGTATCTAACCATGTTTCTATTATAATTTTCTTTTTTTTCATTCTGCTCATTATGCTTCGTCCCCGCCCTTTCCGTCCTGGCAGTTCATATATTTCCATGTATTCTAATGTTTCTCCTTGCCTGTTCCAATATTATATAAGGGAAATATGTTAATTTAGTTTCACTCATCCTCCCCTCCTGTGAAGTTGAACATCAAGTCGCCTCAGCAGGTGACATTACAGCTGTTTTCAAATCATCCAATCCCCGCTTATCCAAAGACCTCACCATTGGCCAATTTCGTTCAGCATCTACCGGGACACTCTTTGCTCAGTTTATCAGACCGCAGGGTCGACCTAGACAATTATCGCGCATTAATAGCAGATCTTCATATCAAATTCGGCAATAACCTCTTTTATCAATATCTCAATCATTTGCTACTAAACCAGCTGCAACCTTGGCCCAATCCGGAGTTCGTCTGGACTGGTGGGTCTTGGACACACATCTTTTAATCATGTTGACCCAGTCCATCCCCTGTTCTGCCTGTCTTTCAACCGGTCACCTCAGCGCGTTTTGCCCATCTATACCCTTTAAGTCTAGCATTCAATCTATTCCTCCTCCGTTCTCTTCAACACTTGCCCAGCCCACAGACCGCCGAGGTAGAAACCTCCAGATATTCCATTCCAGACCCATCTGTAATAAGTTTAACGAAAGTACATGCACCTTTCCTATTGCAGTTTCTCCACATTTGCAGCTTTGCTAGGACGTGCATCCCAAGTCCGTCTGTCCCAGTCGTGCTCTGTTCATGAGAAATCGTACCTTCAAACATTAATAGCCCGTCATCTTCTACGCCCATCATTATTTCTGAATCGGCGATTTGTCTTACCCATCATCCCGACCGCACTTTCGTCAACTTCATTCTTACCGATTTGTCTTAAGGTTCTCATGTCGGAGTCTACAACCCCCCCCTCCCTCACCCACGTCTCCCCTAATCTCCAATCCGCTTTAAAAGAACCAGACGTTGTAGATCAGCTGCTTTACAAGTTGTGTCCAAGAGTTTTTATGATTGGTCCTTTCAAAACATTCTCTGTTTGCTCCCTTTCGTGTGAGCCCCCTAGTGGTAACTACCCACTATATTCCGGGAAAAAGAGGCTCATATTGGTCTTATCTGCCCCTCATTCTGGCTGTCACTCCTCCATAAATAGCCTCTTCCCTCTTTCCTCCTTCTCTCTTCACTACGCTTCTGTAGACCACGCTATTTCTCTCATTAAGACCACCGGCCAAGGGGCCTGGCTGGCCAAAGCAGACATTTTCGATGCTTTCAAAATTATTTTCATTCACCCTTCTCAATGGCACCTGTTCGGTGCTAAATGGAAGTCCCTGTTCTACTTTGCTGTCCGTCTCACCTTCGGCTGCAGGAGCAGTCCTTGTCTGTTTGACAAAATCTCAGAAGCTGTGTTGGATTCTCCTTAATGTTATTCATTTGCCATGCGTTCTTCATCTCAGGATGATTTCCTACGCATAGATCCTCCCTCCATCAGCCCAGTTTGTCACTCCTTAAACTAAAAGCTCTTAACCAACTTGGTGTTCCCCTGTCCGAAGAAAAACCATCTGCCCTGTTACAAAATTGTGTTTCTAAGCATAGCTCTCGATTCAGTGGCCATGACGGCATCCCTGCCCGCAGACAAGCTGTCTCGGATTCATGAGATTTCTCAGTCTTATAGCTCTGCATCAATTATTTTCAAACGTCAGCTGCTTCTTTGCTTGGTCACCTTGCGCATCATTTCACAAGGTCATTCCTTCATTTCCCGACTGCTTGAACTAGCTAACTCTGTTCCCTCTCTCTTAGATTAGGTTTCTCTGGACGAAGGTTGCCGTTCCGATCCTTCCTTCTGGACTAGACTCCTTTGTAAATGGAACGGCAAATCATTTTCTGATGACATTCAAACGCTGACACGCTACAATTTTTCACGGTTGCTGCCCCATCCGTAGGTTTTGGGGGGGTTCTTTCAGGACAGGTGTTTGCGGGTTCGTGGCCTCCCTCTTTTACTAGTTCTCAGTCATTTGCGCTATGCGAGGTTTACCTTTAGCCGTAGCTTGCCGTCTGTGGGGCCCGCTTTGGAGGAGAAAGCGCATATCCGCTTCTGCAACAACATTGCAGTCGTTGACGCCATCTATAAGGTCGCTTCTCCGCTCAATCTCTCATGCCATTCATTAGAGGCATAACTTGGCAAGCAGTCTCTTACAACTCCATCATCTCTGCTCGACACGTTCCTGGTCTTTCTAACCATGCTGCTGATGCTCTTTCTCGTTTTAAATTTCAGACCTTCCATATCTTCGTCCATCTGCCGATCTCCTTCCGACCCCGTTCCTCCGCTAGAAGAACTCATCCTCAACTAACCCACTCTCTTCGTTCGTACTTACTTCCTCCAGTTTCTACATAATCAGGTTTAGCTTCACTTCAACTAATAGTCGTTTCGATTCTTCCTGACATTCGTCTCTTTCGGATCTTCGTTTCCACATCGATCTTACAAATATCTTGAATCATTCTAAAGGAAAGGCCCTTGTTCTATTTCTATCCCACGTACAGATGGCCCCTTTTGCAAGTTTATCACCATGTTTAATTTGTCCAAAAGCATCAAAAGTTTTTCCCTCATTTTAAAGCCCCTTTGTCACGCCCAAGGGTTCTCCCGTGTCACCACGCTGGTTCCAAGACCATCTCAGAATACTATTAGAATCTTGTGGCTTTTCATCCAGTCATTATTCTAGCCACTCATTTAGGATAGGGGCAGCCTCAAAGCAGCTGCTCGTGGTGTCTCTGTGGCTTCTCTCCAGCAGTTGGGCCGATAGACTTTTTCAGCCTATAAATCCTATATCCGCCCTGAACACTCTTCAATCTTAGCAGCTCAACGCTCTCTCTGTCTGTAAGATAAGCTAATTTCGAATACTGGTGGTGGTTTAAAATATATTCTCATCTTTGCTAAATCATTGCTCCCTGCCACGCACCCTGCTATGCTCCCTGTGTGTTCCCTGCCATGTTCCCTGCCTCATTCCCCGCCTTGTTCCCTGCCATGCTCCCTGTGTGTTCCCTGCCATGCTCCCTGTGGTCCCTGGCCTTTATCCCTGCCATGCTCCCTGTGGTCCCCTGCCTTGTTCCCTGCCATGCTCCCTGTGTGTTCCCTGCCATGCTCCCTGTGGTCCCT